CCTTGGTGAATCCCCAAGAGAACTGAAAACTCAGCTCAGGGGGAAACAACCCAAACATGCACCAGCTGAATAAGTACATTTCAGTTTGTGTGTGGATACAGTGGGATGTTATTCAGCCGTAAAGGAATGAAGTACTGAGCTGGCCCCTTAGCCTCGCAGTCAGGGAGCTGGAGCCCACAGGCCGCCTACAGCTGGAACCCCAGCCCAGCAGCTTGGATAACATGCATGTGCACATGTCCCAAATACCAACCAGATGGAGAAATGGAGAAGGGATTGCAGCTGACCACACCTCATTGGGGGTGCTTTCTCCTGCTCTCTGTCTTTCTCTGGCAAGCACACATGTCCTCCAGCAATTAAAAAAGGTAAAAAATTTTTAAAAAAATGAGTGCTGATTCATGCTACAAATGTGTTTGAATCTTGCAAACTTTAGGCTACCGGAAAGAAGCCAGACACAAAAGGCCACATAGTGTATGATTTCATTTATATAATATATCCGGAATAGACAAAGCCAGAGACAGAAAAATTAGGGGTTACCAGGATTTAGAAGGAGGAGCACTGGGGGGCAACTACTTAATGGGCTCAGTGTTTCCTTCGGTGGTCATGAAAATGTTCTAGAACTTGATTGTGTTGATGGCTACAAAACTTATGAATGTATCAAGAGCCACTGAATTGTCCACTTCTAAAATGGTTGTTTTGATGCTGTGTATATAATACCTACCACACTAATCAAAAAGATGAATGGAGGGGTCAGCAGGTGGTGTGGTGGATAAAAGGCTGGGCTCCCACATGGCCAACCGTGGTTCGAGTCCCAGACCTGGCAGCTTGCTTTCTCACTCTCTTTCTCTCTGGTGAGCACACATAACATATAGAAAATTTAAAATAATAATAATAAATAAATAATTTATGAAAGAAGATGGAGATCTTACACTGAGCACATATGGCATTCTTGTTCTCAAGGACATATTCTGCCTTTTTTTTTTTTTTAATTGTCAGAGAGCATGGGCACTTGCCAGAGAGAAAGAGAGCCACAGAGAGAGGAGAAAAGGGAGAAAGCATCCTCCAGTGGGGTGTGGCCACGCCACCATTCCTTCTCCTCCATTTCTCCACCCTGTCAGGATTCGGGATGTGCATGCACAGGTGCCCAGCATGTTATTCAAGCCACCAGGGCAGGGTTCAAGCCACTATATATATATACACACACACACACACACACACACACACACACATACAGTTATAGTTATTATTATTATTGTTGTTTTAATTTGACCAGAGAGAGAGAAAGGGAAAGTGAGAAAGCAAGCCGCCTGGTCTAGGTCTTGAACTGCAGTTGGCAGCCATGTGGGAGTCAAGAGCCTTAACTACCACCTCACCTGCCAGCCCCTGCATCATGCTTTTTAATACTGCCTGTGAGGGCCAGGTGGTAGTTGGTGGTAACACCACTGGACCCATATGGGAAGGCCTCGGGCCCCAGTCCAGGGGCCTCCCTGTCCATGCTGGACACCCACGTGCCTGTGGCGTAGGCTGGCTGAGCCCGGGGGCAGACGGTGCTGGGAAGACCTTGTTGGGCCTGCCTGTCTCACTGCCTTTCTCTCTGTTTCTCTCTCATGGAAGAAATAAATACCAATACCTAAGTGTGCGTGGAAGGGTATTGTTACCCAAAGTCCTTGCCATGGCCGTCAAGGTCTTTATGAGCTGTCTGTCCCTCCGACCGCTCCTTCACTGCCTTTCCCGTTGGATGGCCCACTCCGCTTGATCTCAGGACCTTGGCCTATGGAAAGCCCTCCCCTGAAATCCTCATCGCCGCAGTTCCCGTGGCTCAGTGCCTCACATTACTTAGTTCTTCGCTCACTTCCTCCAAGAAGTCTTCCCTCACCATTCACTCAAATTACTCTCAATCCCCTTACCCAGGGGCTTTTTCTTCACTGAAATTAGCATCCGAAATCCCGTATCCATGTTTGTCTATTCTCCCCCACACTCTACCATCAGCACCTTAGAGGAAGGAACTCTGTCTAGCCCTCCACCATATGCCCCACGGTGCCTACCTGGCTATAGAAGGTGCCTGTAAATTTCTCCTGGGTAAGTGAGCCTGCATTTTGCAGACACGCTAGAGCACAGGGTTAAGAGCCTGGTGTCTGGAACATTCTGTGACTTGTTTATCTCATCTGCCTCTTGAGGTTGTTATGAGGATTTAATGAGTTAATATAGGTACAAAAAAAGGAGAGAGGGCCTACCTCATACTTACTGTGTCTGAAGTGTGAGCCATTACTAATGTAGATAAAGAAACAGAGGCTCATGGAGCCAGCAGGTGGTGTGATGGTTAAGGCCACTGGATCCCACATAGCCAGCTCCAGGGTTTGAGTCCCTGACCCGGCAGAAGGGATTGTGGTGTGGTGCTTTCTCACTTTCCCTTTCTTGGTCTCTCTCCTGTGAGCACATGTGCCCTATAGCAAAAACCTAAAAGAAAAGAAACAGAGGCTGAGAAGTCCCACGCTCAGGGTCACACAGCTCAGAGGCAGGAGATCTGGCTCCAGCATGCAGTCACTGCTCTGTGCTACCTGTCCTGCAAATCGTTCCCCTGTGCTCTGCATGACCTTAAGCAGGTTACATAACCTCTCTGAGCCTCATTCCCTCAGTGGTAAAATGGATATCCAGCCTCCTCACAGACAGGAACAAATGAGATGATATGGTCTCTCTCCCATCCTTGTCTCTTAATCCCATCCTGGGGTGCCGCACACCCAGAGCAGGGGACAGTCAATGCTCACTGGGGACTGCAGGACTCAGTGCCCTCAGGAGTCAGCTAATGAGGTCCATGGTGCCAGGCACAGTCACTGCCCTGACATGCCTGCCTGGCTCTGGGAGCTGCAGCTGGCTAGCCTACCCCAGGCTCCAGGCCCTTGGCACTCGATCTTCGGCTTAGTCAACGAACAACACCCTAGGCCTCAGGGCACTCAGCTGTCACCAAAGCCACCAGGACCCAGGTGAGCTCATGGCTCCCTTGGGCTTTATGCTAACTAAGCCCATCTGGGGGAAGGGCCTTGGGCATTCATTCCCACTCTGAGCCCTCACACACCTTTCGGCCCCTGGCCTCTGCCAGGCCCTGAGTGACAGTTGGGAGTATAGAAGAAGTAAACCGAGGTCCATTCTGAACCTTCTCAGCCACGAGAGAAGCGGGCAGGGGGAGGGCACCCAAGGAGAACACTGTCAAGGAGGACAAGGGCACTCCAGGGGAAGCAAGTCACACCCCTAGACACAGGGCAGGGCCTGGCACTTCGCGGGGCCTAGAGGCAGTTTACTCCGGCTTGTGCCTTTGGGGGGCTGGGGCGGCACAGCTCGGCTCCTGTAACATCCTGAAAGCAGCTGAGGGTCTTGGCTTCTCCCAGAAAGTGCGGGGGAGTCATGGGAGGGCTCGAAGCAGAGGAGACCCACAGTCAGTTGACACCTTGGGCCGCTCACTTGGGTGGCTGTGTGGACAGGTGTGGATGAAGCAGCAAGCCTGGGCCATGGAGCCCAGGGAGGCAATGTTTACTGGGCACTCACTCAGTTATGGGGAACACAGCCTTGGACCATCTACTGCTGTGTGCTCTCGGGTGGATGACTTAACCTCTCTGTGCCTGTTTTCTCATCTGTAAAATGAGGGTACTACTAGTGCACACTCAACAAAGGACCGTGGGGGCCCGAGAGGCGGAGGGCCAGGAGCACACCGAGCTCTGTGTGCGTCTTGGCTGTTCACATGCAAGCAACAACCCTGGGAGGGGTCAGCTGAGCGTCTACATGGGCTCACCAGTAGATCTCAGCAGGGCCCTACAGACAGGAAGCTGGGCCCTGAAGCCAAATGACTTGTTCAAGGGGATGCACCCTGATGGGCGGGCTTCCAGTGGAAGGGAGAGGTGAGGAGGGAGGACGGGGATGGCCGTGGGTAAAGGCTCTGTGCGGGTGAAGTGATCTCGGGACATCACAGGCTCCTTCCCTGCCGGTACTCTGTGCCAGCACCCTAATCCTGCCTTCCTGTTGGGACTCCGGACCTCCCTGGCCACTCCGCTCCTCTCCAGGTGGAAGCAAGAGCCCAGTAGGTATTTGTGGGTGTATTCTGGGTAGCCAGTCCAGAGCAGCCTCCTTCCGGGGACCCACCCCCTGCTCCAGCAGCCTCCTCATCAGACCGTGACATTCCTTCCCTGCTCAGATGAGGTGCTACCTCCTGGTGGGGGCAGCCAAGGCCCTGGCTCGATCAGGACTTGGAAGTCTCTCCCAGCCTGGCTGCCTGGAGCCTAGCAGGGTCCCAGTCCCGCCTCCCGTGCTATATCCCGTGGTAAGGGCCATGGTGGAGAGCCAGGCCTGGGTGCAAATCCTGGCTCCCACACCTCCTCAGAGGGGCCTGGATCCCTCTGAGCCTCACCGCTCCCCTCTGTAAAATGGGAGAGTAAAACAGTGTCTTTTTCATGTCTGAGTCTGAAACCAGTCGGTTGGATTTGAGCAGAGCGACTGGCTCCCTAAGTGGGGTGTGCTATGAGGGTCCCTGCTGGTGCCCCACCTTCACACTCATTGTTTCCTACCTCTTTCTGCGTTCACCTCAACCCCATCTCAGGAGAAGTCTGGGCATCAGAGAAGACTAGGGTTTGCCAAGGGTCACACAGCATGGGCTAACTCCAAAATTACATGTTGTTATACGTCATCCCTCCTGGCATCACCGCAGTCACCAGGCAAGGGCTTCCTCTCCAGCAACAGAGCTGGACGAGGGGTCTGCGGAGAAGAGGGATCTGGGCTGGGCCCTTGCGGGCAAGGGGCACGAGACCCAGGGCTTCCACTGGGCCTGGCCCGCCTTGCCCTCAGCCTGGAGTCTGGAGCTGCTGCCAAGCAGGGAGTCCCTGCCTTGGCACTCGTCTCCTGCAGACCCTGAGCACGCATTGCTGCCCAAGGCCCGGAAGTGTGGATGGTGGTTCCGCTTGAAAAGGCCCCTAGGTGTTTGCGAGGAAATCTCACAATGAGATGCTAAGAGGGTGTGCTTGGGATTTTTCCCGAAGAGAGACAGATACATCTGTGAGCTGTGAAATGTTCTAGTAACTGGAGACACTGAAATCCTGTCATTCTGGGGCTGGGTCTGCCTCCTTTCACAGATGGCCCCGCCTCCCTGTAGCGTTTCCACAGCCTCCTACAGGCAGATTCCTCCCCTAGAACCACTTCCTCCTGGATGCCCACAGGCACCCCAAGCTCAAGCCATCCAAGACTGGGCCCTGCCTCTTCTCCCAGACCTGTGTCCACCCAACCCATGTAGTCCTGCCCAACCCGTGTCTCTGAGCCTCCTTCTTGCCTTGGACAACCTGTCAGTCATCAAGGCTCTCCGCAGAAACATGTCCTACTGTTAGCCCTGCTCTCCACATGAACGGCTGGCTGGGCCTTAGGGCAGCCTCCTCCTGCTGCTTAATGTCCTAAGCACTCCTCTTTGATGGCCTATGTTACTCTCTCGCTCCACAAGCCTCCTGGTTCCCTATCACCTCCACAAATTCTCAGTTGGAGAGCGTGCTTCAGAATGACCTGGGGTGCACGTGGAAATGCAGATGCCTTGGCCCTGCTCCATACCGTAGGGCTCAGCCTCTCAGGGTGCTAGGCCACTGGGGTGCCCACTGAGGCTGAGAACTCTGGAGCTCCCGGAGTCTCCAGCACCTTAAGCCCTTTCTGTCCTGGGTATTTCAGCAGTCCTCACCTGACTCTTTAGAGCCTCCGTGTTCGAGTCTGCCAGGTGGGAAGAACCCACTGAAGCCTCAGAGCATTGGCAGGAGGGCTGTGTAGGATTCTGAATGCAACGCCAGGCACGGGCTTGGCATAGACAACGCTCCTTGGGCTCGGCCTGGATGTCCCGGCCAAAGGGAGTGCCAGGGCAAGAACTTCCCTGCACAGACAGCCTGCGGGCTGCCTTTGTGTGTAGAAGGACTCCAGCACGCAGGAGCCCTTGCTGCTCTGCAGCCTGCTTCCAATTACACCCACAGGCGGAAACTCCCGGAGCACAGGGAAGCAACACCTAAGCCCCCGGGACTAGCCTGGCCTGGAACATCTGAGTCCACCCGGGACACCACCGCCTGCCTAGTCTGGTCAAAGACCCTCTTGCCACCTCTTGATGCATGGAGGAAGTGAGGTACCAGCAGCCCTTTAGCAGATGTGGAAACTGAGGTAGAAATGGGAAATTCTCCACCACATTCCAGGGGCACACCAATTCCCAGAGGTCTCTGCTGCCATGCCTGAGTGTCACACGGCCACCTGTCTGTCCACTCAACCTCTAAGCCCTTCAGAAATACCGGAGAGACTGGAAGCTACTCCCCTATTTCCAGGCTGGACAAAGCACTTCCTTAGATGGAAACTCCAAGTCCCGTTTAGGAGCGAGCGCACTATAAACACAAAATTAGCATGCACTGAGCAAGGCGTGGGCCACCCAGCCCAACAGAGCTCTGTGGTGAGTCCTGGGGGCGAGCTGCCTCGGCAACCCTGACAGTATTGGGTAGGAGGGGCGGTTGGGCCTCCCAGGAACAGGAAGCCAATTTGACCCTTTAGGGCCCTAGGTGGACTTCAGGCCCAGGCGGCCCTCTGGAGGGCTCTTGCCCCCTCCCCCAAATAGGGTAGGCCGGGGAGGAAGGAGGGGTTGCTATGTGCAAGGGAGCGAGTGAGTGATAATGAAAACAGCTCTCTCCACAGAGCCAGCAGGAGTCTGGCTGAGCTAAGGAATGCAGAGTAAATTCACCCATCACTTGATTTTTATTTCTCCCAGCTGGCTGAAGTGGTGCGGGGGTGGGAGGTGTCTGGGGGAGGGCTGTGCCTAGTCCCCAGCTGCTGGAGCCTCCGAACTCTAGGATGGCTCTCCACCCCACCAGCCCTGGCTTGCCCTGGGACAACTAACTACACACACACCCCCAACCTAGCAAGTGTTTGGCTGACTCACTACATAAACAGGGTGTTGGGTTTTCTTTGTCTTTGCTTTGTTTTGAAAGTGAGCCCTCCCCCCACCAATTCTACAGCTCAAAGGGTGCCCAAGACTAATATCTGTCCCTGCCAGAGACCTTGCCAGAGATGCGAGAGCTAGGATCAGGTTATTGGGGGTTTTCTACTCTCTTGTTCTCCTGAGCCAGATCAGGGAATCTTAGATGGCTCCTTAGAAGGGGAGTTGAGGGTTATTTTTCAGAAGGGAGAACTGCAGTCCAGAGATAGGCAGTGATCTGCCCAAGTTCACACAGCAAGTGAATAGCAGATGAATGTCAGAAACTGGGACTTTAGATTACAAGCCAGCTGCCTCTCTGTACACCGGTTTCCCGGCCTGTACCGTGGAGACCATGCTCATCCCCTCCGTGTTTCTGGAACACATGGCTGGGTCACATGGTGCTTTCATTCCCTGAGTAGCCTTCAGGCCGAGGGTCTGCCAGTGCCCATTGCACGTACAAGCTTCTGCCCTCTACCTGCCCAGGGGCGGGGCAGGCCACCTTCTTCCACCGTGAGACTGGTGAGACATTGAGAGAAGTCAGTCTTTTGTCCTCTGTGAGCAGGGGCCGACCAGCCTCCTGCTCCCCATTCTCTCCCAGGTCCATCTTCATGGGGTCCCCCTCCTAAGTGAGTGCTTTTTCTACATCTGGATCTTATGCCCCCTTCTGGATTCCCTGCTATAAGATTTCATAATGACAGTATCCCTTATTGGGCACCAACTCACTGCCAGGGGTGGTGCTAAGCATTTTACAGGCATGGTAACAGAGAACCTGCAGGGAGTCGGCATTGTTACTCTTCCCATATTTACAGGAGAAGAAACAGAGGTTCAGAGAGGCAAAGGCACCAGCTGAGAGGTGGAGGCGGGATTTGAACAGGGTTCTGCTGAACACCAGAGCTGATCCTCTCAGCTGCAGCAGATCATTGTGGAGATACCTAGTCCTTCAGAGGGTGCACCTGGTCCCTGACCAGCGCCTCAGAGACCAGGTGAGTGGAGAGCCGTTCACTGCGGAAGGCTCCAGGTACTCAACACAGCCTGAAAGTCTTGGTCCAGGGCATTCTGCAAACCTCGGAGCTGCTGGGGTGGCCTCACGTACTCAGCCTCCTTTGGAAACTTAGAGGGTTCCCCATGCGGTCCCTGCCCAGCACTCCTGGGAATCCTCTCTCTGGCCCAGGGTTTCAGCGCTGATCCCCACGCACTGGGTCACAGCACCCCTTCCTCAGGCTCCAGGTCCCAAGCACCGGTCAGCGCCGATTCTTCCACCCGCGCCTCTCCCAGGCTCCTGGGTCCTGCGGCTTCCTGCTAAGTTCCAGTTCTAGTCTTCTTTCGGCGTCCTCCGCTCGCGGCGGGTATCCTAATTGCTCCGCAACCCCCAGCCACAGCGCCCCCTCGCGCCCGGCTGCTCGCGGAGCTGCATCGGGCTCCTACCTTACTGTTGGCGCGCACCTGGCCGGCGCGCAGCAGGAGCAGCAGCAGCGGGAGCAGGAGCACAGCCAGCCGCTGGAGCCAGGGCCGGGACAGGAGCGTGGCCGCGGTCATGGCGCGACGGGCACTGCGCACAGGCAGCCGCGCGCGGACGCTGGGGAGCACCGTCTGCACTGCCAGCTTCGCTCTGCCGCCTGCTCTGCCGGCCAGGCGCGCCCCCCGTTCCCGCCCTGCGCCCCCTCTGGCGTCGCTGGGGGCGGAGCCAGGGCGGAGGGGGGCACCCCGCCCGGTTCCGCCCCACCCGCTCCCCGCGGGCCTCCTAGTAGTTGGGCGGCTCTCCAAGGCGCATCCCTGCGAGGACTCTAAAAAGGTCTTGTTCAGAGCCCGCAGGAGCCCCGGGACCGGAGAGAGAAACGCGGCTCCCCGCGCACACTGAGGTCCCGTTCTGAGACGCGGGATCTTGGACATGTCCCTTTACCTCTTAGCCTCCGCTTTCTCATCTGTAAGGTGCGATAATCGTGCTTTCCTTTAATAGTTTTGAGCTCTATTGAGTGATGGCTCCGGGGCAGGTGAGCCCTTGCGCTGTCCGGAGTTGTTCCTTCCCTCCCCAGGTCCCTGCCCGCCTGGCGTTTTGTAAGCTCAGTCCCCTCTCCACCTCTTCCATTCTCGTTTTCCCACTTTCTGGATCCTTGTTACGGACCCCAACCAAGCTCCAGTAGCTCCCACTTTTTTTGCTTTGTTTTGACTTTGCCCGAGGGCACCTGCGGTAGCCAGAGACACAGGAGAGGGAAAGCCCCTCCCCACACAGCGCTGTGGTCGAGCAATCCTTTCTCCTGCATTTCTCCATCCTGTTGGGATTCGAGGCTTGCCTGCACACCAGCACACACGCACCCCTGCGTCTTTTCCAAGTTGTAGGGCGGGAGCCTAATTGCGCCATGTGCGATGTGAGCTCTGGCTCCTCCTTTAAACACCCTCCCTATTCCCCATTCTCCTCCAGGGAGTGCCTGATTCCTCTGTTCTTTAAGCAGCAAAACTTTCCAGAATCGTCCGTGGTCGTTCTCTCCTCTGGTTAGTGCCCTGCCGTCGCTCTGGGGGTTCTCGGCGTCCCTGTCTCCCTAGTAACCAAATGCGAGGTAGCACTCTCTACCTCTCAGATTTCCCGGCTCTTGGTCACACCTCCTCCTCAAACCTCTTCTCGGTTTCCGTTCTCTTCCCTTATTTTGCAGGCCTTTCCTTTCCTCTGAGCACTCCTGGGGCCAGCTCCCTTCCCTTCCCTCCTCACACTGCCACAGGATTCCGTGCCCCGCCGGGTATGTGTGCTTACCTGGCCTCCTAAGCTTCAACTGCATGCAGTCACTAGTGTGCACCCTAAATGCTGCTGCCACCTCCTATTCTCACTCCTCCTTCAAGAACTCCCCTCCTTCATTTTCTTCATAGAATTTATCACTCTATGGACAGTCTCTCACTGGCGTTTCCTGTGTTGAGAATGCCTTCCTTTGGGGCAAGAAATAAGGTCACCGTGTCTTCTCCAAGGACTGCTCGCATAGTGGTTCTCAAAGCCATCGGCCGACCAGCAGCCTCAGTATCACCTGGGGGCCTGTGAGAAATGCAGATTCTCAGGCCTCCCACACACCTCCTACTTCAGAAACTCTGGGGGTGGAGCCCGGTAATTATTATTATTATTACATTTGCTATAGGGGGTGTGCGTTCATGGGGGGGGAGTGAGAAAGCAAGCCATGACCTCAATCTCCCTATGAGAGTTGAATGCCCCAAACCCCATGCCACCTTCTGGCCCTAGCAATTTTTTTTTTTTTTTACAGCATGTACACTAGCTGGAGAGAGAGAGAGAGAGAGAAATCACCCTCCGAGGGGATGGCCATGCTGCAATCCCTTCTCCGTTTTCTAAGGACCTTGGGCACGCACACACACAATCCTGGTATGAATTTCAAGCCACCAGATCTGTGACTGGGATCACAGTTGGCCATGTGAGTCCCGCAATGTAACCACTATGCCATCTGCTGGCCCTCCCAGCAAGCTGTTTTAACAAACCCTCCAGGGGAGCCTGGCTTTGGGAACCACTCACTGACCTAGCACTAAGTGTGTGTGGTACCCCACGGTCTCAGCTGAATGGAAGACCATGTGTACAACGGGTGTTCAGCACAATAAGCTTCTCTCCTAACTAGCGATGCCCTGTGGGGGCATCACATTCAGGGCCGCTCTTTTTTTTTTTTGAGAGGATTTTCCTATAGGGCGTGTGTGCTCACCAGAAAGAGAGACAGAAAGGCAGAAAGTGAGAAATCACCCACCAGGGGGATGGCCACGCCGCAATCCTGTCTCCTCCATTCTCCTCTCAGGATCTTAGGGATGCGTGCACACGCGCCCGGTGTGAGGGTAAGTACTGGGTCTGGGACTCAAACTGCGGTTGACTACATGGGAGTCCAGCGATATAGCCATTATGCCAACTGCTGGTTCCTGCTCTTACTGATTTATTGAGTTAATGGATTTGCCCACTTTAGAAAGTCTTGCTCCAGGGACCAGCAGGTGGTGTGGTGGTTAAGGGCACTGGATTCCCACATGGTCGACCGTGGTTTGAGTAATGAACCTGGTGGCTTGGTTTCTCACTTTCCATCTCTCTCTCTCTCCCTCTTACTCTGTCCCTATATGGTCAAAGAAAAACAAAAATAAAGAAAAGTTAAATAATTATTTTTTTAGAAAAAAGTCTTGCTCTAACTAGGGAAGTTGATTAGTCAACAAAGAAAGACTAGATAATGCCAAATATCAAGTCCTTCTGACCTTTTCACCTGGTTTAAAGTACACACTCTGGTGGGGTGTATTGGTTAAGCACTGGACTCTCACAGAGCTGATTACAGTTCGAGTCCTGGACCTGGCAGCTTGAAACATCATGACGGGTGCCTGTGCATGAGTGCCCAAAGTCCCAGGAGAATGGAAGAGAAGGGGTTTTGCGTCATGGCCATGGGTATAGTTTCAAAAGTTCTCTGAAACAGGGAACCAGCAGTTACCGTAATGGCTATGTCGCTGGACTCCCACGTGGTCGACCGTGGTTCGTGTCCCGGACCCGGTGGCTTAAAACTCACGCCGGGCGCGTGTGCGTGCGTGCCCAAGATCCCGAGAGGAGAATGGAGGAGAAGGGATTGCGGCGTGACCATCCCCCCTGGGGGGTGATTTCTCGCTTTCTGTCTCTATGTCTCTCTCTGTCTGTCTGGCGAGCGCACACGCCCTACAGTGAAAATCTCTCCAAAAAAAAAAAAATTAAAAAATAAAAAATAAAAAAATAAATAAAGTTCTCTGAAACATAACTGAGCAAAGAGCCATGTTAAGACAGGCCAGAATTATAGGGCCAGTGAGAAAACAAACTGTGTTTATTTGGTTATGATAGAGTACAATTCTGTATTCTACTGTATTTTTAGTTTTTCAGAATTATTTAATTTTATTTATGATTACTATTTTTAATTTGACCAGAGAGAGACAGAGAAAGAGGGAGAGAAAGCGCGAAAGCAAGCCACCAGGTCCAGGACTCAAACTGTGGTTGGCCATGTGGGAGTCCAGTGCTTTAACCACCACGTCACATGCTGGCCCCTCTACTACATTTTTCTTAACAGTTCCAGGAATTTACATTTTTCCCTTGACACAAGTGTGCATAAATCTTAATCAACAGATTCAGTAGCAAACATCTAGTTATAGGATGATGAATTTTTTTTCAAATGTAATTAAAAAAACGGACTTACTTGTGATTTAAGGAGATTTAATGTATTTCAGAATAAATCTTCCAGTTCTTTCTTTGTGTGTGTCCATTCTGATTACTCACAGGTATTAGACCATGAAAGACATCACATTCACTCATTGTACAATTTTATTCAGTGCATATTATGTGCCAGCAGGATTTTTTTTTCTTTTTTCTTTTGGAGAGGTTTTTGCTATAGGGCGCATGTGCTCGCCAGACAGAGAGAGACAGAGACAGAAAGAGAGAAATCACCCCCCAGGGGGGATGGCCACGCCGCAATCCCTTCTCCTCCATTCTCCTCTTGGGATCTTGGGCACGCATGCACATGCGCCTGGCGTGAGTTTAAGCCACTGGGTCCAGGACTCAAACCGTGGTCGACTACGTGGGAGTCCAGCGACATAGCCATTACGCTAACTGCTGGTCCCCCAGCAGTATATTTTTAAAGAATTATTTTATTTATTTATTTTCCATGAAATTTGCTAGAGAAAGACAGAGAGAGAAAGCAAGCCATCCGGTCCAGGACTTGAACCTGGTCAGCCATGTGGGAATTCCAGCAACTTAACCACACCACCTGCTGGCCCCCTCCAGCAGTATTTTCTAGGTCCTATAAATTCAGCAATAAATAGATCATTACCCTAAAAAAAAAAAACTCAACAAACAAAAAAAGCAGGGCCAGACTAGTGTACAAATGAAAAGTGTGTGTGTTCTTTTTTTTTTTTTGGAGAGGTTTTTGCTATAGGGGGCGTGCGCTCACCAGACAGACAGAGAGACAGAAAGCGAGAAATCACCCCCCAGGGGAGATGGCCACGCCGCAATCCCTTCTCCTCCATTCTCCTCTCGGGATCTTGAGCACGCACACACGCACGCACACGCGTCTGGCGTGAGTTTTAAGCCACTGGGTCCAGGACGCGAACCGCGGTAGACTACATGGGAGTCTAGCAACATAGCCATTACGCTAACTGCTGGTCCCAAGTATGTGTGTTCTTACAAAGGAGGAGACTTCAAAAAGTTCATGGGGGAAAGAAAGGAACTAATGTATTTCGTTACAAAGTTGAAATTCATGCATATTTTCCTTCAAAACACATTTTCCATGAACTTCCTGAAAACTGTGTATACAGACCATCTCTAAAGGAGCACACAATAAACCCGTATGGTGGTTATCTTTAAGGGGGGATCCATCTGGCAGGAACTGGAATAACAATTTTCATTGAATACTTTTTTGCATCCTGTGGATTTCATAACTTGTGTCCTATCAAAAAAAAAAAAAAGATGACAAGTATTTAAAAACAATTAGAACTGGACAGGGATTCCCTTTCCCATCCGTTTCTGGGTTCCAGCCTGGCTCACCCTGGAGAGCTGGCCATGTGAGAACAAGGCCGCTGTGTCAACAGGGGAACCCTGCCCCCTGCTGGTTGTCGCCCCACATGATCCGTGGTGTTCGCAGAGCCTCCTCTTCACCTCTCTCTCCCGCCCCTCTTGCACAGGGACCTCTGGTCCCTGTAGATGCACTAGGTTCCTCAAATGTGCCAAGCTCTGATTTGGCCTTGAGACCCTTGCACAAACTGTCCTTTCTATCTCAAATTCTTTCTTTGCACTCAGCCTGATTCACTCCTACTCATCCTTCCCACCTTATTTTAGCACTCTTTATCCCCAAAAGCCTCCCTCGATCACAACCCCCTAGTAGACCCAGCCATGTCATTCAGTCCCGTGGCACCTGGTGCTTCTTCTGTTTTTCTGAGTTCTGCAGGTGAGGGAGACTGTTCTCACTTGTAAAGTGGGGGTGGGGTGGGGTGTACTGACTTCTCTGGCATGTTAGGAGAAATGTAGAGAAATGAAAAGTTCCCATAGTAGGTGCTGGACTCATAGTGGGTGCCAACCTCGTAGGCTCCTACATGCTTAGTGCATTGACTGGGCTTTCAGAGAACTGTCATGGCCCCCACTTTTCTTAGTTTGGTGGTGTGTGGTGTATGACTCTTCCCATAACCATTTTCAGATGGAACGTACCTGGGATTTGAACCAGTCTTTTAATAACACTGGTAACAGGTTCCTTTTGTTAGGCTGGCCCTTATATTGCTCTGCAGGTATATCTCACTTAGTTCTCATAACATTCCTGCCGGGTGGGGGCTACTGTTACTTACCTCGCTGCCTTAGAAACTGGGACACTGAGGCTCAGAAGTAACACACCTGGAATCACACAGTTGTAAAGGAGGAAGTCAGATCTGTTTTTACTCATTGTCAGCAATTCTTTACTCTATAATTGCAAGAGGGAGGGGCCAACAGGTGGCACAGTGATGGACTACCACATGGGTGACCGCAATTCAAGTCCTAGATCCTACGACTTGAAAATCATACAGGGTGTGTACATGCATGCCCCAAATCCTGAGAACAGAATGGAGAAGGGAGGATTGCAGCATGGCCATCCCCCGGGGAGGATGGGGGTGGCTTCTCTTTCCCGCTCTCTCCTGGTGAGTGCACATGCTCTATGGCAGAAACCTTATAAAAAGGAAAAAAAAAATTGACCGAGGGCACGTGTGCTTGCCAGTGAGAAAGTACCCTCCCCTGGTGTATGGTCATGCAGCAATCTGCTTCTCACCATTTCTCCATCTCATCTGGGTCTGGGGTACACAGCTTCCCAGTGTGCTTAAGGGGCAGGGGCCAGGATTCAATCCATGTGGTATCTGGCTCCTTGGCCAGTCCCTTCTATTTATTATGAAGCTTCTTTCTCTGTTCTGTGAGCAAGAGTGACAGGCAGAGAGATGACACCCACCACAGCATCTTCACACTGCGATCCACATCCAGTTTTAGCCAGCCTGGGGTCACGAGGAGGGGCGTGGCCTGTGTGTTCAAGGAGGCTTCCAGACAGGAACAGAAACCTTCCAGGTGGGTCAGCCTTGAAGAGTGTCGTGTCAGTGCTGACCCGCCTGTTTGGCCCTGTTATTTATTGACTCTCTACTATGTACACGCCCGTGTTCAGCAGTTGGGGCTACAACGCTGACAGTGAGAACAAAGAGATCCGACTAATCAGGCAGATCTGGGAGGACTTTCGGGAGGAAGGAGCAACAGAGCTGGAGACTTAAGAATGAAGAGGAAGTTGTTTCCTGTAGCTAAGTGTTTGGCTTAACTCTGCCCATCTTTTTAAAAATAATTTTTTTAAAGGTTTTTGCCATAGGGCATATGTGCTAGCTGCAGAGACAGGGAAAGGAAAAGTGAGAAATCACCCCCACACTGCAATCCTTTCTTCTCCATTCTCCTCTCAGGATGTTCACATGCACACATGACTGGTGTGATTTTACTTACCTCGCTGCCTTAGAAACTGGGACACTGAGGCTCAGAAGTAACACACCTGGAATCACACAGTTGTAAAGGAGGAAGTCAGATCTGTTTTTACTCATTGTCAGCAATTCTTTACTCTATAATTGCAAGAGGGAGGGGCCAACAGGTGGCACAGTGATGGACTACCACATGGGTGACCGCAATTCAAGTCCTAGATCCTACGACTTGAAAATCATACAGGGTGTGTACATGCATGCCCCAAATCCTGAGAACAGAATGGAGAAGGGAGGATTGCAGCATGGCCATCCCCCGGGGAGGATGGGGGTGGCTTCTCTTTCCCGCTCTCTCCTGGTGAGTGCACATGCTCTATGGCAGAAACCTTATAAAAAGGAAAAAAAAAATTGACCGAGGGCACGTGTGCTTGCCAGTGAGAAAGTACCCTCCCCTGGTGTATGGTCATGCAGCAATCTGCTTCTCACCATTTCTCCATCTCATCTGGGTCTGGGGTACACAGCTTCCCAGTGTGCTTAAGGGGCAGGGGCCAGGATTCAATCCATGTGGTATCTGGCTCCTTGGCCAGTCCCTTCTATTTATTATGAAGCTTCTTTCTCTGTTCTGTGAGCAAGAGTGACAGGCAGAGAGATGACACCCACCACAGCATCTTCACACTGCGATCCACATCCAGTTTTAGCCAGCCTGGGGTCACGAGGAGGGGCGTGGCCTGTGTGTTCAAGGAGGCTTCCAGACAGGAACAGAAACCTTCCAGGTGGGTCAGCCTTGAAGAGTGTCGTGTCAGTGCTGACCCGCCTGTTTGGCCCTGTTATTTATTGACTCTCTACTATGTACACGCCCGTGTTCAGCAGTTGGGGCTACAACGCTGACAGTGAGAACAAAGAGATCCGACTAATCAGGCAGATCTGGGAGGACTTTCGGGAGGAAGGAGCAACAGAGCTGGAGACTTAAGAATGAAGAGGAAGTTGTTTCCTGTAGCTAAGTGTTTGGCTTAACTCTGCCCATCTTTTTAAAAATAATTTTTTTAAAGGTTTTTGCCATAGGGCATATGTGCTAGCTGCAGAGACAGGGAAAGGAAAAGTGAGAAATCACCCCCACACTGCAATCCTTTCTTCTCCATTCTCCTCTCAGGATGTTCACATGCACACATGACTGGTGTGATTTTTCAAGCCACCAGATCCAGGACTTGAACTGTGCTCAGCATGTGGGAATCCGACGCCTTAACCACCATGCCACCTGCTGGTCCCTCTTCTGCCCATCTTTGAGGGCTGAGTTAGAACTGTCACTCACAACTGGAACCCCAGGACCACAGGTTTCTGCACTGCTACTTAGCCCCTGACTGGATCTCCAAGGCAGGGAACTCATTACCTACAGAAGCCTGGGATAGAAATGCAAATTCTGGCCCTAGAAAGGGCACTTGGTGCCGACATGTTTCAGAATCTGGAGCTGAGGGAATGCTCCAGAAAACATAACTCTTCTGTCTCCCACCTCCCTGCAGTGCTAAGGGCTGCTTCTCCTTGTCACAGGGGCCAGGTTAAGAGCATTTCTCCCTGACTCTGGGGAAGCGTTTGTGTGTGTGCGTGTGTTCCATGGCCCAGGAATGGTAGTGGGGAAGCAATCAGAGGGTCATTTCTTATATTTCAAAAAGACCCTTTGGGACCAGCAGTTAGCATAATGGTTATGTCGCTGGATTCCCATGTAGTCGACTGCAGTTCGAGTCCCAGACCAGGTGGCTTAACACTCACGCCAGTCGCGTGTGCGTGTGTGCCCAAGATCCCGAGAGGAGAATGGAGGAGAAGGGATTGTGGCATGGTCATCCCCCCTGGAGGGTGATTTTTCACTTTCTGTCTGTCTCTTTGTCTGGCGAGCACACACACGCCCTATAGCAAAAACCTCTCCAAAAAAAAAAGACCCCGACAGAGCCACGTGGGAACGCAGAAGGGATCTAGTCTCCCTTGCTGGGAGGTATGAATAAAGGAACCTATGAAGAAATGCTCGAACAAGCTTGAGAAAGATTAATAGGCATTTGGGAGTGGAGTGGGTAAAGTCAGGGACATTTCAGCTTGAAGGAGCTAAGGGTTTGGGTTCTGGTTCTGACCACCATCTATGGGAGTGATCCTAGTAACTCCCAAGTGATTTCGTCAGTATGACAGTGCTGGTACTCATGGAGTGGGTGTGAGTTAGTGGCTTAGATACAGCCAATGTAAATTACTCCAAAAAGTGGAGGGGAGATTAAGGATGGGGTAAGAGTTAACCGATGTTGGTGAGCGGCAAACACAGGTAAGCGCTGGCGAGTGGTGCAAAACCTCCAGCGTAGCAGGTGAGGGAAGGGGTGTGCTGAGAAATGTGGGCAGGGGTCAGACCAGGCAGGGATGCGAACGCCAGGACAACGAATTAATTAAGCAAGGAAGGGCACAGGTGTCAAAGGCTTGGGGGGAGGGTCGGGGACGGGAAACGAGCGACCCAGGTGGAAGCTGTGGCACAACCCGGCACAGGAGAGGAGAGGCGGGCAAAGCACCGCGGTTTTGTTCTTTGTCCTCAAGCAGGCCAGGTAAGGCTTAAACCCTAGGTGGCAGCCGCGAAGACTACTTCCTTGAGGGGGTCGCAGAGGACCGACACCCCAGAGGACTCAAAGGCCAGTACCCGCGCGCCACCTGGTGGCCGCGGGAGGTCAGCTCAGCTGGGAGCAGCGGAGGCTGCAAAATCCGGATTTTCTCCTGGAAAGCCTCTGGAAATTGACAGGGAAGAAGGCAGGGTAGCGGGCCTCTCATCAACTGAGGACTTCAAGACACCGAGTCAGCCTCAAGAGCCTGAGGCTTCCTTTAAAGGCACGAGTGGCTCGAGCTTAATCTGCCCATCTCTTCTTCCGCTAGGAGGAAAATGAGAGAAGGAAGAGAAACTTTAGTCTTTCCCGCCCACAAGGAGGTAAAAGGCTTTAAAGACTACCCCGGAAAGCAGAGTTTTATAGATTCTATTTGCATACGAACGCGGTCACCTCGAGTTAAACTCCGGTCCTTTAATCTCCGGCCCAATTTGTCCAGCCGCCGCGGTGGAAGGCCCCCGTGAGTACCTCCAAGCCCCGCCCCCGGGGCCCGCCCACTGGGCGGGGCTTGGCTGCACGTGCTCACCCAGCGCCTTCGCAATCCGCCTCTCCGGAAGGATTTATTGTTGTGGTGGGGGGATTCGAGCAATCGTAGGCCTCTTTAGCGACGAACAGATGATAATAAAGAGATGGCCCTGAAGTAACCCTTCTTAAACTATTTGTCACGGGTTTTCACCAGGCCCCGTGATCCGAAAGCCCTTCGTTTTCCCGTCCCAGGGCAGCTTATCCTTTCTGCCCCCCCTTCGGTTGGTGTGGTCCCGCGTGGCCGGCCTCATCCGCGGACTCCAACTCCCAGCGTGCCCCTGCGGGCCGTGCGTGGCGGAGGTGCGTGACGTCAGGGGAGGGAGCTGGCCAGTGCTGAGGGGGCGCGGCGCACAGGGGCAGGGAGC